TATTTTATTTTTATTTTTTTATTTTTATTTATTTTTTTTACTGTTTATTTATTTTTGAGAGAGAGAGGGAGACAAAATCCAAAGCAGGCTCCAGGCACTAAGCTGTCTGCACAGAGTCCGACATGGGGCTCAAACTCACCAACCACGAGATCATGACCTGAGCCGAAGTTGGACGTTTAACCGACTGAGGCACCCAGATGCCCCAGGCTTAGAGCTTACTTTAAAAAATAAAATTTGAAAATGTGTTTAAATGTAGTGACAAACTTGTGGAATTACGTGTAAACAAGAGTAAATACACTCTGAGTTGAAGGGCGTCTCCTGCAATTTGCAGTGCACAGAATGGCGTCCGGGAGGCAGTTTTTGCACGTGGGTTCATAGCTTTGGTCCAGCTGTGCGGCACGGCATGGCACCCACTGTTAAGTAAGGTGCTCCCGAAAAGCTCACGCATTGCTGGGACTTCAGGGGCCGAGAAGGAAAGGAACTTATGTTTGGGGATTGATAAAAGGAGGAAGTGATTGATCTTTTATGCTAATTTATATTTTCATAGCTTTAGTTCTAGTTGAATCTGTCATCAAATACAGAGACCAGAGGCTTATTTATTACCCCAAGACCATGGAGGAAGCAAGGGAGTGTGGTTTGCATCAGCTACGACCCCCTTGGGTCTGAAGGAAAGGGAGAATTAATCTTCCCTCCTGAAGTGCAGTGCGAAATCTCTTTCCCGTCTTCTCTAAGCAAGCCCCTCATTATTTTACCCTTTTTAAAAATGTTTGTTTTTGTTTCTACCGTGTGAGCATCACACAGTCACTCATGAATTGTGTGTCATGACAGCCTTCTAACCTTGAGAAACGGACCTTGGTCTGTGTCCCTCTAAGTCCTCAGAGTGCCTACATATGTCTTCTTTCAGAGCTGGACAAGGTCTGCATCCAACCAGATCTTGTTGATTTTGAAGGAATGCCCAAGCAAGTTTGAAAAATGTGAAACTGTGACTTAAAACAGCATTGACATTTCTGCTTAAAGTCCTTAGGAGAGGATTGTGTTTATCTAGAGGATTTAAAACAGATGCTCATCTCTCTGATTAACAGAGAAGCAGGTCACCCACTTCCGGAAACCTACCATTTATTGGAACGATTATCACCTAGGTGACAGTAGCAGAGAGGGGAGTCTGCCAAAGGTCAAGTCATGGTCAAAGAAAGTCAGACTCTGTCATGGAACCGTTTTAGCTAGGACAGCCCCACAAAGCCCCAGAAGCCATTGGTGTTCGCTCTATAAATGCTGGGCCCCTATGGGGCTTGCCGTATGAAGAATGAGTCTACTTTTAACATCACATTTACCAATGGATGCGTACTCTCCCCCGTCCCTGATAATTTCAGCATAACTTTGTAAAGAAAAACAACAATCACAATGTGTGTAAGTTTTCATAGCATTGTTAACAATTTGACACTTTTAGAGTAATTTTTGTATAACTAACAAATCACAGTGCTAATGAAGGAGAAGAATGCAAATATTTTCTTTTTCTTCCAGTGAATAAGATTCTCTAAAACTCTTAAGTAGGAGCAGAGGGGCATGGGATATTCTTTCAGTAGGACTTCGTGTCACCTCTTTGTTGAATCTGTTCTCAGGCAAAGTCATCACTCAGTCTCCCCTAATGAGTGTTGCTAGGTATGTACTGAGTATCACTGCTGAGTGCTGAGAACAAGATGAACAAAGTTTTCCCCTCATAGAACGTATGCTGGAAAGAGCTGATAAGCCAACAATCAAACTAATGGTACACATATCAAATAATGACGCTAACTAGAAGAGACCGAGGGGACAGTGGGTGACCTGGACTGGAAGGCCCAGTATTGAGGGTGACCGCGGCTCCTCTCTGTGAGGAGGAGGTGGTGGGGTTGAGATCTCTGTGGTCAGAAAGCCATCAGCCGGAACAGTGACTGTACTGGGGATGCCCGCCTGGTGTGTCTGAGTGATGGGGAGAGCAGTGGCACGGACAGGGTGGGGAGGAAGCGGGCTGTCCGGGGTCCGTGGGTCAAGATCAGAGGCAAGAACATGTGAAAAGCATCCGATTTCTGGTTTTCATTCTGCTGGGGTGCGGAGCCTGGGCTCTAGAGGTAATAAAGGAAGTCGGGAGACCCATGAGGAGCCTGCAGGATTCTGAGACCGCATGGATCGTGACTTTGTCTAGATGACGGCTAGCCAAACAGGGCTGTTGATGCTTACATTTAAATGAGTGAAAAGTGAAAACTCAGTCCCTCCTTCACCATAGCTCCATTTCAGGTGCTCAACAGCCATTGCCAAGTGCACACGGCTGTTGCGTTGGGCAGTTGCAGAACCTTGCAGTGTTGCAGAAAGTCCCCTTGGACAGAGGTCCTTCAGAGCTGTGGACCTACGGCCCGTTCCTTCCAAATTGTTGGTTTGTCTGTCCTTTCCAAAGTCTCGATTCCTGTCCAGGAAGGGCAACAAAACCACCTTAAACTTCATTTCATGCCTCTTCTTTTAGGAGCTGAGAGTGGAGGGAAATTTTGTATTGCAGAAGTTCATAGCTTTTGAGAATTAACCAAGGCCATGGAAGGTGTAACCCTGGGTTCAGGGCAGGTTAGAGGGAATGTGCAAGGCACGATCCCCACAAATTGGAGAGTCACCTGGGAAGGGGGCGAGGGGCAGAGTTCCCAGGGGAGCAGAAGGCCCCATCACAGGCCACAGGGGACCATTTGGGGGAGAAGAGCATGACCGGACCAGATCGTGCTGTTTCCAGAATTAAAGAGGCCAGAGGAAAAGCACATCAACTTTGATCAGGAGCTAGGAGCCGCGGTTTGGGATTGTGTCTGTCTGTCACAGTGCAGTCCGGGGGCCATTGAGTGTTTCCTAGTAGGGGTGGGACTAGCCAGAGAGATGGAAGACGGCAGAGGGGCCCGGGAAGCCAGGCAGACACACTGAACAGCCCTGCCCACCTGGCCAAGCCCGGTCTTTGGGACTGCTGCCCGGCGAGGCCGCTGCACTATTGGCCCACAGGGCGCCATTCGGGAAGATGAGCTGGACACAGGCACAGGCTGAGCCGCACACACTCCTGCTCTGTCAGGCCTGTGTCTCACTGAGATCGCAGCCCAAGAGCAGTCCCTTCCATACCCCCAATCTCAACGTTCCCCCGGAATCCTCCGGCAAAGGGGATCCCGGCTCTCAGCTCCCAGCTCTCCAGGCGGCCATGCCCGCTTCAGCACCCGAGATGTGAGGGACGGTCCCTGGCTACTCAGGAAAGGACATTTCAGGGGAGAGAATGGACTAGATCTCCACCTCGCCCCTCGGCCCGGAGTTGGCGTGGCCTCTGTCGGGACACAGAAGCCCGTGTGCTCTCACAGCCCTCCCGCTGCTCTGCCCTTAAACCTGTCTCCCCCTTGGCCTCGAAAGTAAAGTGCTGCTCTTCTCTACTGCTGCAAAAACAAGGCGCCGGCAGATCTGACGCTGATAAAAACCCGATAAAGCTGTCGTTGCCTTGTAGGAAGGATTGAGATGGCATGTCCCGCGGTGAAAACAAGAGTAGAATAGTTCTGAGAACTGTACAACTGTCACCCTTTCTCTAAATGACTTCCTCCAACAGACGGACGGTGTTCACTCACTGGCCTTTTGTAGGCATGTGAAAGCCAAGGTCTTTTGATGTTAGCGTGAGGAGCCCTTCCCTCCCTGGGCTCTGCCCCGGCGCCAGCCACCGTGCTGACCGCCAGACAGTGCCGCTGCCACCCAATGTCCCTGGTCACCAGCATGAGCGGGACCTGCCCAAGCTCGGGCAGCCAGGAAGGAGGGGAATCAGATTGGAACCCAGGTAGGAAGTTCAGAGGGAGTGAGGATGAGGGGGGCCCCTGGGGGCTGAGCAACTGAGTAATTCTAGCTGAGCGGCTGCAGTGTGTGTGGGGGGAGGGTTGGCAGGTGACACCAGTGCTGTCCCTCCTCAGGGTGGCCCCAGGATACTTGGGCCACCGTGGGTAGCAATTTCTTTACTTCTCCCTCTCTCCTTTCTCCCTTTGTTCCTTCCTTCATCTCCCATGCATCCATTCTCTCTCTCCCTCTTACTCTCCCCTCCTTGCCCCTCTCTCTCCCTTTGTAATAGAATGTTCCATTTTTTCAACCAATTGTTAGGTCTTACCCTATGAGTAAACCCTAGCCTATGCAGGGGGTCTGTGTAGACACACCCAAGTGTCCCTATTCTTTTTTTTTTTTTAATAATTTTTTCAAGTATATGTATTTTGAGTGCGAGCAGGGGAGGAGTAGAGAGAGAAGGAATCCCCAGCAGCCTCTGCAGGGTCAGCACAGAGCCCAACATGGGGCTCATACTCACAAAACTGTGAGATCATGACCTGAGCCAAAATCAAGAGTCAGATGCTTGAGTGACTGAACCACCCAGGCACCCCTAAACATCCCCATTCCTTGGGAGTTTCTCCACTCTCTGTTTTATAGGGGAGGGGGCTTCTGCTCCCAGACATGGCCTTTGCAGCACGGAGGATCACATCTGCTCCTGGGGGCAAGTGTGGACTCACAGCCGTGTTGGAGGGTGGCTCATGGGACCGTGTTCCCGAGCTGCGGCAGACAACGCGAGCTCCTGACTCCGGGACGGGGTAGGAAGGAGGAAAGCTCGTCCGCCTGGGGGTAGCTCAGCAGCCCCCCTCAATGGGGAAGTCAGGGAGATGCCACCACGTGGGGGCAGCGGCCACCCAGGGCCCAGGACGACACTCGGAAACCTGGTGAAACCGTACAGTGTCGTCTGGTACCATCCACGACGGACTAGTCAGAGCCAAACATACTTTCCTGAACTGGAAACAGGTATTTGGGGTGTTTTTTGTTTGTTTCCAGCCCATGCCTGACGTGGCCAGTCACCTCAGCAGGGCGCGGAAGCCAAGGTCTTGTCCATGGCCAGAGAGAGAGTGCCTTCATGGGGACACTTCTGCCTCTGCTGCCGCAGTCCTGTCTGTGCCGCTGGGCCTGACGGTCTTCTCTTTCTCTCTCTCTGTCTCCAGGGCCAGGTGTGGATTAATGGCTTTAACCTTGGTCGGTATTGGCCAGCACGGGGCCCCCAGGTGACTCTGTTTGTGCCACGGCACATCCTGGTGACTTCGGCCCCGAACAACATCATCATACTGGAATTGGAGCGCGCGCCCTGCGGTGACAAGGGCCCGGAAGTGTGCTCCGTGGAGTTTGTGGACAGGCCTGTCATCAGCGCTGCTCCGACCTCCAGCCGTCCCCCCCCAGACCTGTCTAACCGAGGCTCAGGACTGGACCGGGTCTGATGACTAATCACTGTGACCCTTTGTAGCGTCAGCAGCCTTGCACATACCTCACACACCCCTCGCGTAATGCCAGCATGCACTGGGAAGTTCGACTGGAAGATAGATTCAGCACGAGTGTTTTCTCCTGAGGTTTTCCGGGCAGCCTCGCGGTGGCCAGCCCTCACCGGCAGGGGCTGCAGCGGACGTGTGAGGACGGTGGCCACACGGTGATGCACGATGAGTTCCCACAGTCGAAATGGAAGCTTTCAAGGTGTTCCTGATTTTTATTTTGGAAGAATCATGTTGTCTTTTTGTTAAATAAAATTGGTATTCAAATGATGTTACTGTTTTTAATGTTGAGCAGGTATTAAATTATCGGTTCTGATTTAAATCATAACTAGACTTGAGTGGGTCGAAGAAGCCACCTCACTAACTTGCGGTTTAAAGGAATGGAAAATACTCTTGGTTTGATCTAGTGGACTCCTGCTTTTCTGGTCCTCATTTGACTTCCTTTCGTGTTTCTGTGCTGTCGACTAGGTAGCCCCTCAGTACAGCTCAAAATCGTTCTGGACGGCCGACAGGCTCAGCAGATGGAGAAGGCACGTTGAAGGGCACCTCTGCGTAGTACGATACCACACAGCCACCGCAATGTGACGTACACCCGCATATGAAAACGCTTTCGTGATGATGCTGGGTGAAAACAGATCACCTTACGTTTGGTCCCATTTTGTGTGTTTAGAAGTAAGAATTGCACACACGCACACAACACAGGCCTGAAGACACGTCACGGTCACACATACACGTGAGTGTGTGTGCTGTGTATGTACATGGATGTACAGGGACGTGGCCTTGCCGAATGTGCATGTCCCGCCCTGAGGCAGTAGCTCTCACTGGTTGAGCACTTGGCCTACACCATGCCCGGCTCTGAGCATGTTTCATTCACTCGTCCCTCACAAGAACCGAGAAATGTGCCGTCATTCCCCGACTTACCTAGCCACACTCTGCACACGTAACACAACAATACATGTTCATGTTCCCAGGGGAAAGAATCGGAACAACAGAACCCAAAACATTTGTTGATCATACCTGGGGGTAAGTGTTTGAGAAAGAGTTCTCTTGTTCCTTTGTGCCCACCTGAGTTTTAAATCCTTTACAGGAAAGATGTAAAATCTGTTAAAGGAGTAAGAAAGGAAAGGCTTCTGATGCTAAGCTACACTACATAGTATAGCTTATACTTCTGATGCTAAGCTATACTATATAGTATAGCTTATACTCATATACTATAAGATGGGTAAACCTTCTCATATTCATCAGTAATGAATACGTGGGATTCACCAGGAAGTATCAAAGCCCTGGTTGAGTCAGCTGTCAGGAGGCATCACTGGGTGGAGACAAACAGAGACGAGGAGTTCATTTAGGATCGTTTTCCATAGCATCTCTGTCTAGATGTTCTGCGTTTGATGTTTGAGGGATACCGTGGGGTGAAGTCTATGCTACATAGACTTATGTCCTCATTTCTTTATCTTTCACTACGAGTCACCAACAACTTCTAAAATGACACTCCAGAACGGTGCCCAGTTATGTGCTTGGGGAAGAAATGTGAGACGGTTCCTTGTGAAGCGTTACGTATGTTAAGTTGCACCCCCACTGTCCCAGGTACTATTTGTCAAAGCAACAGAAGACTCAAGCAGTGGAGTGGGACCTGCCCACAGGAGTGTGTGCTTCCATTCCGTCTGCCCCATCTTCAGAGCCACACTCAGGTAGCAGGAAGCCCACTTGGCAGAGGAAAACACTGGAAGCTTCAGCAAGAGGCGGAGTTGGATTCCGATCTGGTCTATCTCTGTCCAAAGCCACTGTTCTGTCTTGTCAGTGTGAAAGAATCTTCTACAGGACCCTGACACCCCTTGTCCAGGATGTCATGTTCTGGAAAGCCAGAATTCGATACATAAATTGTACCACTTGTGACTCTGCACATCCCATCCAGCTTTCCACACGGCCCTGGAGAGGTATATACATTTCACCTTCTAGGATGCCATCCTCTTTTTTTTTTTAATGTTTGTTTATTTTTGAGAGAGAGAGACAGAGTGCGAGCAGGGGAGGGGCAGAGAGAGGGGGAGGGACACAGAATCCAAAGCAAGCTCCAGGCTCTGAGCTGTCAGCACAGAGCCCGATGCGGGGCTCGCACTCAACAGACCGTGAGATCATGACCTGAATTGAAGTCAGATGCTCAACCGACTGAGCCACCCAGGTGCCCGTATGATGCCATTCTTAAAATATGATGTACCTTCTGGAACTCCTGATTGCTTAACTCTGTGTATGGATGCTGCTGCCTCTGAAAATAATAAGAGCAGTGCTTTTATTACCTGCCATGTAAACCTTTTATATTAAATTTCTCTTTAAGCTGATTTTAATATTCTGGGACTCTGAGCCGGCCTGTGCTAACCCAACCATAACACTTGGAATATTTCCATATTCTCAGTCATCCTTGTGATAAACATTGTGGCCTTTTCCTTTGTACCCTTGGATTAGATGTACCCCAGATTCGTACGCCCTATGGAACAGCTTGTTTTAAGCAGCTTTGTGGAAGAGTAACTTATATACCATAACATGAAGCTACAGTTTGATGGGTTTTACTAAATCTATGCAGTTGTGCGGCCACCACCACATGGCAATCTAAATCCAGTTTTAGAGCACTTCCTTCACCCCAGAAAGTTCTCTTGTGCAAGAAGCCTTCATTCCTGCTCCCACACCCGGAAACCACCGACCTGTTTGCCATCTCTATGATTGTGCCTTTTATTTTTTTATTTTTTATTTATTTCTAGGAGAGAGAGAGAGACAGCGTGAGCAGGGGAGGGTCAGAGAGAGAGGGAGTGACAGACTCTGAAACAGGCTCCAGGCTCTGAGCTGGCTGTCAGCACAGAGCCCGACGCGGGGCTCGAACCCACGAACCGCGAGATCATGCCCTAAGCGAAAGTCGGACGCTTAACCGACTAAGCCACCCAGGCGCCCCTGATTGTGCCTTTTAAAAGAATCCCATAACTAGGATCCCAATATGCAGCGAGATCATGACCTGAGCCCAAGTCGGACACTTAATTGTCCAAGCCACCTAGGCGCCCCGATTGATGAGCATTTGAAATGTTTCTGGTTTGGGGCCATTGGGAATCCTGATGGTGTGAACACCCATATACAATTCTTTGCGTGGTCATAGGTTTTCATTTCCCCTTGAGTAGAATTGTTTAGTGACGTGGTAAACGTGTGTCTACCTTTCTATGAAACTGCCAGACAATTTCAGAACACCTTCTTTGAGGCTAGCCAGGAGCGAAGAAGGGGCAGAGTGCTGGTCCCTTCTGGACTTGGCGCCCCTTCCTCTGTCCTCCATCTGGCTCCACCCCTTTTACTGTGTCTCTTTTTATCTCTGTCAGTCTTTATTTCTCAGCAAGTCCAGTTTATTGAGAATGAGATTGTTTTGCGCTCCTCCGAATTGGGGTTTTTTCCATTGTTTCCCCGACAAGCAATGTACCTTCTGTGGGATGACATGACTAGAAAATGATCTTGCGTGGTCTTCGTTTCTTGCCTTAGGAGAAAAACAAAATGCCATTTCCTTTTTTTTTTTTTTTTTTCAAGTTTATTTATTTAAGTCATCTCTACCCCCGACGTGGGGCTCAAACTCACAACCCCAAGATTGAGAGTCGCATACTTTTCTGACTGAGCCAGCCAGGGGCCCCAAAAGTCACTCTCTGAAATCACATTTTTAGTCAACATGAGGAGTTCTGTCTGGTCTGTGGTAGAATCGACGGCTGGTGCGAACCAGTAACTCGTGGGCTGTGAGGAAAGTCCAGTCAACATCCAGACAACAGCGGGGAGGCGGCGCTGGGGTTGAGCCCGGCCCTGCTCTCACTCTGACTGAGCTGTGCTCACTAGGTTGTCGCTTGCCCTCCAGCCTCCCTGAGGCTGGCAAATGATGTTTGTCCACTGGACACCCAGCAGCCTTTTAAATGCCCCTCGAAGGATCAGAACAGATTTGCCTCTGGACGGTCGCTCTGCTTGTGTCCCAAGGGGCTTTCCCACATGCGAGGGAGCCCCCCACGAGCCCCCAGTCCTCAGACCTCCCAGGCCAGAAGCACTGTGTCCCCGGGTAGAACAGGACAGGCTCTGGGACCGAAATGCGGGTTCCCACTCCCACGCCGTCACTTAGCACTGGCCTGCTGTCATGTGACTCACGTAATAGCTTCAACTTCCGCGTCTCCTAAGCGTGCATCCCCACCATGGGGTGGTGCACTTCAGGTCCAGTGCAGTCATCATAAAAGTTCCTCGGATGAAACTTGTCACGTAGCAAGTAGGTGCTTCCTGATGTTAGTTGGGTCCTTTCCTATGACATTCCTCCACAGAGATGGGTGAGCCACCTGTGGAAACCTGAGGGACCAGGGGAGAAGCGATGCCGCCTGGGACACACCACCCTTTCCCTGCATCCCCTCAAGTTCAACACCTGGCTCTCCTGACCAGCCACTGTGCTGGGCTGAAGGACACAGGGGGAAGGAGACGGTCTAGTACAAAGCGAGGACACAGACTGGAGGGAAAGACGAGGCTCCACAGAAAGAGTGAAGGTGCATCGTCTCTCAAGACTCTCCAGCATTCTTTTAATACTTTTTTTCATTTTTTAGTGTTTTTTTATTTTTGAGAGAGAGAGCAAGCAGGGGGGAGGTGGGGAGAGGCAGAGAGAGGGGGACAGAGGACCTGAAGCAGCACAGAGCCTGATGGGGAACTCAAACTCATGAACTGTGAGATCATGACCTGAGTTGAAGTCAGATGCTTAGCCGACTGAGCCACCCAGGCGCCCCGAGACCCTCCAGCCTTACCGTGACGCTGAGGGGGGTATGGAGAGATGGGCAGAGGCTGGACGGCAACGCCAGCCTACGGAAAAGACTCTTGTTCTCAAAACCCGAGTAAGGTCCTTCCACCACTGCGGCCTTGGAAGACCAGCAGCCACAGCCCCGCACTACCCCATGGCCTTGGGTCTTAACAAGGGCCACAGGGTGACCAAGAACTTGAACGAGCAACACACGGCTGCCCGCAGCACCTCACCAAGCACACCAAGCTCACGCAAGATGTGATTCAAGGGGTGTGCAGCTTTTGCCCTGTATGAGCAGCGCCTCAAGGTCTGCAAGGACACGTGGGCCTCCCAGCTCCTCAAGGAAAGGGGGAGACTCACCTCCACACCAGGAAGAAGTGAGAGAAGCTGACCAGTGTCCCAGCCACCGGATGGGAAGGCTCCCTAGGCCTCCAAGAAGCACTGAGCCCCTCCTCCAGCTCTGCGCACGGAAAAGCCTTTACAGAAGAAG